TGTGCTGGTGGCACAGGATATACTACGTGATTCATGCGCTAGCAGGATCTGCACTTGGTGTACAGATGCATTATAATCTTACTCTGCATGCAAGTTATGACTGTTAATAGTGTCAATAGCTGTTCCTTATTCGTATACCTGATCAACATAAATAACCTTCTCTATAAATTACACTATATATTATAATACTAATATCTTTGCCTTTTTTATATATATTAATTATATCAGAATTCTAATGTTATTATAATATATAAAAAGCTTATATTTAACACACTTTACTACCTCTTTTAAGCGAACATTTATTACTAAATATAATCTTGTTTTACTTAGCTCACATTTAATTTTATTGTTCTTTATACTATGCAAGTTGTTTAGCAATTAATTAAGAAGTTAACAAAAATCTTTTTTTAGCTAACTAATTAATAATGCCTTCGTCTTTAAGGATTTAATAAATAGTCTTTTAATGGATATTAATACTAACTTCAGACTTGATTTCTTAATAAGTAGCCTTTAGATTAGTACAAATAAGACGTAGAATATTGCGTTTTTGAACCTTATTTAAGGTCTAGGGACGTCCTGAGCAAGGCAAGCTTTTGCCTTGGTTGCGGAGTGGATTTTGAACAAGGGTGTTGAAAACGGTAGCTTTGCTGCATTGCAAATTTTGACTAATCTTTTGATTTGTCAACCCTATAGCTTTGTACGCTGATATTTGACCTCGTTGGTATGGAGATAACTCCTTGCCATAGCTCTTATTAATTTCAAGAGGCGCCAGAGCCTTGCGTTGAGCCATGGTAGTTGTTTGAAAAAGGGTGTAAAAAACGCGTGTTCAAAAATGACGCGTTTTGGTCAGATACTTTCGCGCGGGGCTGTAGCTTATACATTTACTTAACGCTAGTGATCTTCAAGTCATATCATGATGTTATCTGAAATATTATAGCGCAACATAACAGTTCGAAACAATCCAGATTGAAGCTGCTTGAAATTCTGACCAATCCAATACAGATCTGATGTGTGACAATCCGCAGGAGGTGCATACTACGGTAAGTAGTACCTGAAAACCCCGCCAAGCCAATCGCTGGGGCACTCACGAGTGAAAAACACTTCTGCTGATGGAGGTCCACCGTCTGTACCTTGTGCTGATCTTGGTGCGGTTGCGAGTTTGATATTGACCTACAATGAAGGATCGTCGTCATCCCTTTCAAACAACGGCGCATGACTCGCAAAAGCAACTGCGTCAGAAAAGATTGCGCCATATTGACCTCTGAATCTGTGCAGATTTATCCCCGTTTGGTACAGTGTTGCTCTCAATTGCGCATGCAGGGTAATCTAGTCCAGAGGGGTAAAGGTGTGATCATCGATATGAGATTCAGGTCCAGCCAGCAGGTCGGGATACCCATTTAGGCTTAAGTCGATTATCACAGATGGTAGCTTTATGGTCATATCCACAGTCACAGTGTCTGGCACACGCTATGTGGTCATATCCACGCAGTCACAGTGTTCACCACATGCTAGATAGTAAAATCAGGGTGTCGAGGGTTCGGAACCGGGTCTTGACAAGGCGGCCATTTGCATTACAACAAAGTTCCCTAGGGCCATAGAATACTCTGGGTGTGGGAGGATGTGATTCTGGATACGAGGTCCACTTCCAGCCTGAATTCTTTTGTGGCTTAACTGAATTATCACAAAGGGCATTTTCTACTCCGTCACAGTGAATGCTCAATACTTCTTGATCTCAGTGCGCTTTTCTTTCCGGCAGCACAGCATCTGTTACCCTTTCTTACCATCTACGGGATACTGGTTCTTTCTTCGAGTTGGTGTTCCCTTCTTAGAAATATCACGAAGCTGGGGGATATTTCCACGGCTTTGGTCCGCGATGTTGCTATTGTTGGTATGTCCTGCCAGTTAGCAGGAGGTGTGGATGACACAAGAACACTATGGGATTTTTGTGCACAGGCCAAAGATTCGACATCCCCCATTCCAAAGACACGCTTCAACGCTGGCAACTTCTATCATCCGGATAAGTCCAAGAAAGGCCACTTCAACGTCGAAGGTGGCTCTTTCTTGGAACGCGATGTTGGGCTGTTTGATGCACCCTTCTTCAATCTCAGTGAGGCCGAGACTAAGTCGATGGACCCTCAGCATCGACTTCTCCTTGAAAGCGCGTTTTTGGCCTTCGAAAATGCCGGGATAGACATCAATTCCATTGCAGGCCGTGCTGACGTGGGAGTTTTTGCTGCCGGTTCTCAATGTGACTATCAAGATCGTCTCAAGCTCGATCCATACACCAGCTCTCTATACACGGCAACTGGTATCGCAGCTACCATGTTCGCTAACCGAATTTCCTATTTCTTCAACGTCCGGGGCCCCAGTATCACTATTGACACAGCTTGCTCCTCCGGTCTGACAGCATTACACAATGCCGTTGAGAGCATTCGAAGCGGCCAGTGTAGCTGTGCCGTGGTTGGAGGAAGCTTCTTGCAGCTCTCGCCGCATTTCTTAAGCTTTATGTGCAATCTAGGGTACGCTGTGCAGGTCCCTAGCTATATATTCGTCACTGATATTTTGCTCTAGCACGCTCAGTAAAGAAGGCAAAAGTTTTCCTTTTGACCATAGAGCAAATGGGTACGGACGTGGAGAATGTGCAGTATGTCTTGTCCTGAAAGCAGCCGCGGATGCCATCTCTGCCAACGACTGTGTTCGCGCTCTGGTACGCAATACCGGTATCAACCACGCTGGTCGCTCGCAAGGCATCACATTTCCAAACGGTCAAGCTCAGTCGGAATTAATCGCTCGTGTTTACGGCTTTGTCGGATTGGATCCACGAGAGACGGTATATGTAGAATGCCACGGCACAGGCACAGAACGCGGTGATCCTATCGAAGCTGAATCAATTGCAGCCGCCTTCGATGGTGTTGCAAGAGGCTTGGACAATCCCATTTATTTGGGCAGCGTGAAGTCCAATTTCGGTGAGAGATTTTACCAATCTCCTCAGCATCCTGCGTGAATTGACTATTGCATTCAGGCCACTTGGAGACTGTGAGCGGACTTGTGTCCGTAGTAAAGTGTGTCTTGATGCTCGAGCGAAAGATGATTCTGCCAAATGCAAATTTTGAGAATAGCAACCCTTTGGTCAACCTCGAAAAGCTCAACCTTAGGGTATGACGATCAATTTCTCATGCAAGTGTAAACAGTGTTAATTCGTACCAGGTACCCACTGAATGCATACCTTGGCCAAGCGGTACAATAAGGAGAGCATCTGTCAACAATTTTGGATTCGGTGGTTCCAATGCCCATGCTATCCTCGAACAAGCTTCGGATTCTCATACAAAACCTTCCGCCGAAGACGTGATGGTCGTATGTATGGTTCCTAATGGAAAAGAAGAACCGACGCATAGACTTTTCACTGTTTCTGCCAAAGACGAAAAGTCCCTAAAGTCATATCTCCAGTCTTTGGTAAGGTACGTGGAGAGAGTACCAAAGGACAGTCAGACTTTTCTTGCCGATCTGAGCTATACTCTTTGTTGTCGACGAACACCTTTTCAGTGGCGTTTGGCCACGTACGCATCAACACAGGCCCAGTTAGTTGAGAGGCTAACGAGATCTATTCCGATCGGGCGAGCAAATCTATCGCAAAGACTGTGCTTTGTCTTCACCGGACAGGGTGCGCAATGGCCTAGGATGGGTATTTCATTGATGCGATATCCAACTTATGCGAAGACGATAAAGGAGGCTGGCAGAATCCTGAAGGATCTGGGAGCCAACTGGTCTCTTGTGGGTCTGTTTGTCTCATGTCCAAAGGTCGATTGTACAGTTAGCTGACGAAGGCATAGATGAGCTCTCGAAGTCTCCTGACTCATCTTTGATGGGAGAGGCGATTGTCAGCCAGCCGGCGACAACTGCTTTGCAAATAGCATTGATTTCTCTTTTTGCAAGTTGGGGTGTGGCCCCGGTGGCAGTATGTGGGCACTCAAGTGGAGAGATCGCAGCTGCTTATGCGGCCGGCTTGCTTAACCTCCAATCTGCCATGTCTATCGCCTATCATCGTGGAAGACTGTGTGCACAGCTCCACAAATTAAAGTCATTCATTCCTGGTGCCATGATGGCTGTGGGAGCAGGACCGCACTTCGTTGATCCTTTGATCGGAAGTTTGCGTGATGGCCTGGCAACGATTGCGTGTTACAACAGTCCAAGTAGCGTGACTGTCTCTGGAGATCGTTCAGCATTGCTGGAACTCAATGAGAAACTGGACAAAACCGGCACATTTAATCGCATGCTCCAAGTCGACGTCGCTTATCACTCGGAGCAGATGACCTGGATTGCCAAGCAATATCTCCATGAGATTACTCCTGCACTTACCAGTAACGCTTCTAAGGACGCAACAGCCACTTTTTTCTCGAGCATCACTGGCGACAGTCTGGCATCGCACGTGGTACGATCGCCATGGTATTGGGCCACCAATCTCGTATGCCCTGTCCAATTTGCCAAAGCTGTACCCGCCATGATTGCGGCTCAAGCCTCTTCTCACCCAAGGCATTCTATATCTCTGCTCGAGGTTGGGCCTCACAGCGCGCTTCAAGGCCCAGTGAGAGAGCTGCTGCAGCACCACAGTTCGAAGGCAACCGGGAACTCTCCAGAATATTTCCCTAGCCTCAAAAGAGCTGAAGATGGTTGCCAAAGTGTCCTAGGACTCGTAGCGTCGTTAGTTGCTCGGGGTTTCATACTCAAGACAGACGCTATCCACGGAGAGACGGCAGGAGAATCTTCAGCTACGCTACTGACTGACCTTCCCCTTTATTCATTCAACAGGGCAAGAAGCTACTGGCAGGACTCAAGGTTAGCTAGTAGTTTTGAGCAGGATGGTTCTCCATGGCATGTCCTTCTTGGCCACAAGAATACCAGCACTGTTGGGAAATCTCTGGAGTTTCGCAACGTGTTCTCTTTGGATGACATTCCTTGGCTGAGAGACCATCGAGTAGATGGTAACGTCGTCTCTCCAATGGCTGGGTACTTATCTATGGCTATTGAGGCGCTGCTAATTTCGACATCAAAATTGCAATCACAAGCAATCGATGGATACTGTGTCAAGGAGATGGCCATTGGAAAGGCGTTCATTCTTTCTGATGGAGAACAAAATGAGCTTTTCACTGTTCTCGATTCTCAGGTCCTTGGCACTCGCGGAGATATACCCAGCAGATGGCACGACTTCCGGATTCTTTCCTGGACCAAAGAAAGCTCCTACATGGAGCATTGTAGAGGCTCAGTTTGTCTTATGATGGGAAATATCGCTGACTCAATCAGTGAGCAGTGGACCACTTCAACCAAACTCCAGCGTGTCGAGCAGTTGAGATCACGTGTAGGAGGGGCGAGTCCTCGAGAGGTTGATGCCAATCTGTGCTACGAGCGCGTAGCTCAAAAAGGCATCTCATATGGACCAGCATTTCGTCAGTTAACTGGGTTACGAACAGGGGATGATTGCGCCGTAGGTACCGTCACAAGTGTTGAAACCCGACCACTAATGCCCACGGGGTTCGAGACGCCACTCAAAGTTCACCCAGCAACTTTGGATGCGTGTCTGCACATAGGCCTGTTCAGCATGGGTGGGAACAATGGTGACCCTGACCAGATACGCCCGCGTGTAACGACATTCTTGCGTGAGGCGTTCATTTCTAATCACATGCCACAAGATCATCGCAGCTGTTTTCATGTTTACTTCCATGACCGACAGACTGAGTCAATGTCACGATCCACCACAGGAAGTTTAACCATCTTTTCTGGAGACGAGAAGATGCCCGCTATTGAACTTCGAGATTTACATTTCTTCGAGATTTCAGAAGAAAGCGCTCCGGAGCCACATGCAGATGTTTTGGATCCTCTCAAATTCGATTGGCGAGACCATACAGCCTTCATAAATTCTAGCTCTCTCGATGACGTGGAGTATCCTGGTGTCCCACTGGCTGAACAAGATGCAGAGATCATGGCACTTGAGCAGCAGGCGTACTATCTTATGAAACGTGCAATGTCCGCCTGTGGCACAGAGATAGGCTCTAGCCGCCATCTTTCCTTACTTCGTAAATGGATGGAGGCCGTGATAGCGCATGTTGAGTCTCCTGATGCAAGCACCAGAGAACAGGAGTGGACTTTGCTCAATGAGTCTAAGAGGACAGATTTTATCGAAGCTGTGAGTTCCCGGACTATAACAGGTAAGTGGAACCGCGATGTTGGCAAGAACTTATACTCTATTATCACGGGGCAAGTTTATCCCATGAGCATACTTCTGGCGGAGAATAGTCTCTGGCGCATTTACGAGGAGTCATTCATCTTCGGCCGCAGTGGGCACCAGCTGGCCGAACTCGTGAGCCTCGTTGCCCGTCAGAACCCAACCATGCGGGTGCTCGAGGTTGGCGCAGGCACTGGTGGGTATACAAGTAAAGTGTTATCGGCGCTGAGTTCTACACCATTGCCCGGTGTTCAATGCGAGGTGTACGACTATACCGATGTGTCAACAGGCTTCTTCGAGTTTGCAGCCACAAAACTGGAGCGCTGGCAAAGAGTGTTGAAATTTAGAAAGCTTGACATCTCCAGATATCCGGCTGAGCAGGGATTCGCGCTTGGATCCTACGACCTCGTGATTGCAGCCGATGTAATTCACGCAACACCGGACCTGGAGCAGAGTCTCGCCCATGTACGTCAATTGTTGAAAGCTGATGGCATCTTTGCCATGGTCGAGCTGAGCCGATTCAACAATTCTTTATTTCCATTTGCGACATTGCCTGGATGGTGGGAGCGTGAGGCAGGTGCCGTGGTGCCAGAATGCGAGTGGCATGAGCTCTTGCTTCACGCCGGTTTTACTGGCGTAGAAGCCGCCATCAAAGATTTCCCCACGTTGAACTTTCATAAGGTATATCATACAAAGGTCCGAGGCCCACCACCTCAGCCGTTTCCGAGAACCGTCACTCTAATAAATAACGATGAGGACTTGTCAGTTGACTCCTTGCGGGCAGATGTTGGCACGGTCCTACGCCGAGGTCTGGGCCTGAACGTAGAACATTCGTCCTTGGCCGCTGGCAGGAGCAGCAACGGCGTATTGGTGATCCTCGATGACTCTGAACATCCCTTGTTAACAAATTTGGACCGTGCCAGGTTCCAGTCTCTTAAAAAGCTGTTGGATAAAGCCAATGCTGTGTTTTGGGTCTGCCGCGCGCCGCATGCTGGCGCTGATCAAGAGCCACATCTCGGATTTGTGTCAGGCTTCCTTAAAACTTTACGCCTCGAAAATGTTGGTGTGAAGTTCGCTCTGATTCATTTGGATGCTTCACGGCACGAAAAGTCGGCTGCGAATGTCGGCAGAGTCTTCAAACATTCATTTCTCATGAATGTCAGCGATGGGGAGACGGATCTCGAGTTTCGAGAAGAACGTGGCCGGATCCAAGTTCCTAGACTTATTCCCGACAAGAGCATCTATGACTCCGTGGATCGTGAGAGTAACAAAACACGGCTTGAGGAGCAGGCCTTGTGGCAGGAAGGACGATCTTTGGAAGTTGCAATGAGCACAGTTGGTTTGCTCAGTACTCTACATTTCCAGGACTCCAATGCTGTTGCGCAGGAGCCGGCGGACAACGAGGTCATCATCGAGATCAAAGCCACAGGTATGAATTTCAAAGATGTGTTGATCGCCTTAGGTACTCTGCCGTGGCAAGGATTGGGCCGAGAATGCAGCGGCGTAATCGTTGCTGCCGGAAAAGAGGCCCAAGTTCGCTTTCAGAAAGGCGACGCAGTGGTACACTGGGGCGGGTCGCTCTTTGCAACGCACGTCCGCTGCAAGACGTCAAGTATCGTGAGGATGCCGGAAACCCTCAGCTTCGAGGAAGCCGCGTCTATTCCTATTGTGTTTGCCACCGCGTACGAGTCCTTGGTCAACTCGGCCCGTCTGAGGAAGAATGAGACAGTGCTTATTCATGCTGCAGCTGGCGGAGTAAGACAGGCTGCCATTATGATCGCTCAATGGCTTGGAGCTGAGGTGTTTTGCACTGTCGGAGCACCTGAAGAGAAGGATCACATTACGCACTTGTACAACATACCTGAGACGCACATCTTTTCGAGTCGTTCGGCAACGTTCGCGGGTGCGCTGCTGGCAGCAACCCAAATGAAGGGTGTTGATGTTATCCTCAACTCGCTCTCAGGTGACTTACTACGCAGCAGCTGGGGATGTCTTGCCCCATTCGGCAGATTCATAGACATTGGTAAAAGGGACGCTGTTGCAAACGCCAGCCTTGAGATGGCACCCTTTGACAAAGGCGTTACTTATAGCGCCATTGACCTCTCTCTTTACATCGACAGACGAGAGACCGAACTCTGTCAACTCATGGGACGCGTCATGAACCTCGTAGGTACCATGGCAGTCCGCCCGGCGCAACCAATCCAATGTTTGTCAATTGCCGACCTAGAGACCGGCCTGCGCACTATGCAAGCAGGCAAGCATATGGGAAAAATCGTTGTCACCAGTAACCGCGAAGCTCGCGTCGAGGCACGATGCAAACCATCTTACCACACAGGCCTCTACCCTGATTGTTCTTATTTAATTAGCGGTGGCGTCGGCGGTCTGGGAAAAAGTCTTGTTGACCTTTTCCTTCGCAACGGAGCCAAGCATATCATTCTCGCTTCAAGAAGTGCAAGTGAAAAGGCGTCACAAGGTGCGGTGGATGAGCTCCTCAAGGGTGCCGCTACAAAAGATGCGAGAATACTGCCGGTCAAGTGCGACGTGGGTTCCACAGTCGATGTGCAGAACATGATTGCAACAGCAGCACAGCAAGGCATGCCCCCTGTGCGAGGTGTCGTGCACGGTGCGATGGTGTTAAAGGTAAGTCTTGAATCGAATGATTCTTTTGACAATCTTTCTGCTAATTACGACCACGTTGCAGGATGCACTTTTTGAGACCTCTACCTTCGACGAGTGGGAGGCAGTCCTGAGGCCCAAGGTAAAGGGAGCCATAAATTTACACACGGTTCTTGATGGCAACCCATTAGATTTCTTTATTTGTCTATCGTCGCTGGTGGGTGCCCTGGGGAACGCTGGTCAGGCTTCATATGCTGGCAGCAACACTTTCCTTGATGCTTTCTGTCAATGGCGTGGGAAGAAAGGTCTCCTGCAGCATCGATTAATTTTCCAGCGGTGCAAGACGTTGGTTATATTGCGGAATCAGTAGCTCGCGGAGTTACCTCCTTTGATGATGATATCTATGGATTTTTGATCACTGGAGCGGACTTACAGTTTCTGGTCAAGGCCATTGTACACGGTGGCCTGATGGACTTCAAGCAGAACGGTAACCAGGTGCTTGTGGGGCCGTTAAGACGACCTGAGGTCGGAAATCATCCTCGAATGCGACATGCCTTCTTCACTTCAGTCCGACATTCAGTGACGGCTCAAAGGCCGAACCAGAACCTGGGCGTGGCTACCAATGCTAGCTCGAGGACAGGTTTTCGGACCGAGATTTTAGTCGACAAGGAAGTTTTGAAGCATGCAGTTGATATCGAAGAAGCTTCCAAGATCGTATTTGAATCGCTTGCTCAGAAGCTGGCCAAGGAAATGGCGATTTCGCCGGACGACATTGCCCTTGAGACTTCGCTTACAGAACTCGGCCTGGATTCTTCGATTACGGTTAGGATTCGAAATTGGATAGCGACAGAGCTCAAGGCGAATATGCCTGTGATGGAAATCATTGGGGGCGGGTCGATCAACGATCTGGTTGCCAAGATAATGCAAAGATCAACCTTACTCGTGAAGTTCACGGACAAGGCACAGATGGAGGGCTCGGAGTAGATGAGCAGCGTGATAGCGTGCATGTTTGAGAGGATAGTTGGAGGGAGAGATTTCGCTTGCCAGATACTGGAAGCCTCAAGGCAGACACGATTATTTAATAATCTTAACAATGAGCTACATCCTGGCTTCACCCTATCATCGCACGAAAGCCGAGGTTCCGAATCACCAGCACTCAAAAGAGACAACGCAGTCTTGTCGCTTCAGTATCCTCAGTATCGACCAGTAAGCAGTAACCAGAAACCAGTCACTGATACCGCGTTTGTCGAGAACGACTTTCGAGCTCTCAAGTTTTCAAAACGGCATAGTTCGGGGATAGTTCTTAAAGAGGTCGAAGGTATCATAAGTATGTAAGCACCAAAGGGCTGAGGCCGACGCAGATTTCTCCCTCCATACACGCCAAGCCTCTGTTAAGATACTCATGTACTCATGATTTAGTCACTACTACTTGGTACGTACAGAATCGTGCCCCAAAAGTACTAGATGAAATACACTAAGGATATAGGTGCCAAGAGGTATACTCTTGGCATCTACATCATATGACTCCTCCGAACTCCGTACTACGTAAGCCTTGGGCCTGCTTATGCCCTAAGCAGAGGGTTTTGGATGACCCTTGGTCCCTAGCTGTCTGATTTTGGGGCTAATGTGCCCTAGGATAGTAGTTGCTTAGGGAGCATAGTAGTGGCGTTTCTTGTGGCATTTTAGGCTGGCGATAGGCTTCAACCCCTGGAATGCTTAGAATGACACTATAAGAGTACTACTACTACTAGTGCTAGTAGCTAAATGTTAAGACAGATCTATCACTTTATCTTGGCAAACTATCTCTTAGCGTATTATAACTGTACCTCGTACTTTATTACATAGCAACTTCAGCACGTGGTATAGAAAGTCGCTCGAGTCAAATTCAAGTTGGTCACACTCCACTCCCCCTACCCTCTACCCTCGTGAATCTTGCTGCCTGTGATGTGGTTCCCCAAACCTTCGTCCATTGTCCCATCATGATTATGAACACAATAGAATATCCCCTGGCGACGTGTTTCCAAGGTGATCATGCAAAGCTTCCTCCTCGACCGCATCTTTCCAACCTCAAGCCCACTTCTTCCGCAGCATGAGCGCAATAGCGCCCATACCTCTTCTCCCAATGGTCTTTCACATTTAGAACCCTCTCGCTCTCCTCTTGCGTCAAGCAGCACTATCCTACGAGCAGCCCCAGTTTCTACCTCTTCGGCGACTAATTTCGATCCTCTCATTCCCCTCGAGCGTGCTGCCAAGTCGCTTCAACGTACCATCCAGTCCCTCTTAGATGCACAATCTGAAGGTCTGCTCTCAGGTCTCAGACCCGGCAACGACCAAGACGAAATCTCCTCCAATGGCTCCCTTACCCCAACGCCAACGATGTTCTCTACTTCGACCATGCGCAAACGCGTTACCATCCCTGTTCGACAACCACCGCAGAAGAAGATTTCTCTGCGGGCAGCCCGGCGAGGGCTCTCCCGGTCCATGCACGACTTTGCTGCTCTGAAGGACGAAGAAGAACGAGTTCTAGAACTGCAAGTGCAGGAGCGGGAAGATGCATTACATCAGGTGGAAGCTTTTACATACAAGCGCGAAGGCATCGAGTCCCATATTGCCTCCATCTCGTCTGAGAGTGGCGCTCAATCCGCAGGTCGTCTCCGTGCCGAAGCGAATCGGTTAGGTAGACAGATCCAAGAATTGGAGGACAGACTCTTCGAGATGAAAGCCCGTCACAGACATCTTGCTGACAAGGCACAGCAACTGGAAAGTTCGGTACAATCAAAACTGAGCTCCTACAACGCTAGCCTCGAACTCCTAGATAAGGATATCAAACGGTTTATAGAGAACCCGCCCATCCTCCAGCCCAGCTCTAGGACAACACGTAACCCTATCGATGGAGATAGTAGTGCAGAGAGCTTCTATGCTCTCAAACCCAATAGGAGGACACTACAGATGGCAAAGGATCACTGGCATGATGAACGAGAAGATCTGATCCGCAGGAAGGAAGCAATTCAGCTGGAAAAGACGGCCCTAGAAGACGGGGGCCAGGTGTGGCGTGAGGTCGTGACTAAGATTCAGTCATTCGAGAAATTTCTCAAGGCACAGATGCAGCAGTTTTCCGTGAACCCGACCTCACAACGGGAGCGAGATGAGGGAATGGCGTCTGTGCTGAACAGCATGGACAAAGTCATGGAATTCTTGGAACGGCATGTCCAGGAAGCAGAAGGCAAGGAGTGGAAACTGTTGATCTGTTGCATAGGCGCTGAATTGGAAGCTTTCCGGGAGGGCAGACAGGTGCTGATCGAAGCGTCTCGATTCCGAAATGGGCAGATCCACGAGGAAGAGCAGAATGAACTGCTCGACTATGGCGAAAATGGAGAAACTAATGCTGAGCCTTTTCTAGACCAGCTCCAGGACCGTTCGGAGGACGATGCTAACATGAACTCCAGCCACAGAACAGAAAGTGCCATCCTATCAAATGCTAGACCAGCGGCGGAAGATGATGAAGAGCGAAGTCCCAAGCTCTTACCAGATTCGCCACGACCCAAGCCGACACTGTCTGCTGAATCCAGATCATCCGAGAGCGAAGACGACGATCCTGGACCTGACTTCTTGATCTCTCACACCTGAGATAGTATTCCACAATCCATCATTTTAGTCAGAGTCCATGACTTGAGATAGTGTGATACCATATATAACTCTCAGCTTCTTCAATCTCTCTACATCTTTATCACTATGAATAGATTGATCTCTGCGAGCGGGTGTCCTAGTTACTCATCTTGCATCTTGCACAGATGATCCCCTCTTCCCGTCCTCGATACAGCAGTAAAGACCTCCCCTCCCCAATCCATCACGTTCCCCCTTCCGAGGGGGCAAATTCTCCTTTGTGCAAGATCCGCAGGGCCTCGGCAATGACCATATTTGCCTCCCCATGTGCCTACCTAAATCAAATTCAGAACCGTATGTGCCATGCACGATCTCACCCGCGCCCGCCAATCTTGCATCCAATGGCCCATCTATACCAGCTCACGCCGTGAGCGGGAGCAAGAGCAAGAGCAAGAGCAAAAACGACACCAAGCAGCCTGAGCGTTGCAAATTCTTTTGGCCAACGGTCATGACTGAAGGGTTGAGGTCGTATTTATCTTTTCGGAACGAAAGAAAACCAAACCCAGCCAGCCAGGCGTAACTGGCTCCGCTCCACTTGCTCCTTCGGTTCCAACCATTCTCCTCACACCGACAATGTGTAAGACAGACAGGTAGGCAGGCAGGCAGGCTTCACATCTGCACGCCCCAAAACCCCCTCCCACCACATACCCCCAGTGTATCCCCCACGGGCGCCCAACTGAGATTACTAACTTCATACTCGCAAGCCCAGGCCGCACCGGGTCCTCTCTCCCCGCCACCTGGCTGCTGCTGCTGCTGTTGCTGCTGTTGCTGCTGTTTTGCTGCTGTTGGCTTCCCTGTGTACTACTCGGCATCGGCACCACCGCCCCGGCCTGGCTCATCAGATCCCAGATCAGAACCGTGCTGTCATCGCCCCCGCTGGCCAGCATGCCTCTCCGGTTCGGACTCCACTCGATGCAGTTGACCGCCGCGCCGTGGCCGCGGCGTTCGAGC